AATGCGACCGGAAGTGATTTGTTCGCGGACGTAGATGGAGAGTGGGAAGTAGCGTGTCCATACAGCCTCCATCAGAAAGAGGTTCTTAGACCTTGCGACCTCAGCAAGCTTGCGCGCCTGGGCGGCATTGACAGTGAATGCCTTCTCACACAGCACGTTCTTGCCAGCTTCCAAACAGAGCATAGCATTTTGGTAGTGGTGCGAGTGTGGTGTAGCAATGTATACGACATCGATGTCAGGGTTCTTCACAAACTCCTCGTAGGAGCCATATGCCTTTGCTTCGGAGGGTGCGCCCACCTCCTTCAAGAAGTCTTTCGCGCGCGATTCGGAGGACGACGAGGCAGCAGCGATGACTGTGTGCTTCAGGTGCTTGACGCCACGTGTGGTAGGGTCGCAAAGCAGATCCTTGGTACTGTCCCTATGTTAGTAAACAGCTTCAGTGGGGTATGGCGCGGGGTAGTTACAAGGTGACGGCGATGCCTCCAGTAGCGAGGATACCCCAGCGGACAGTCTTTGGTGATGACATGATGTAGATAGACGTTGTATTAGTCTCTCAATAGATCGATGGTGAACTTATAGATTTAACGATGAAGAGCGCTCAGCGGCGTCAGGAGATTGATCTTTGTAGCTGCAGAGCTCCAACGTCATGACGCCCACCGAACTTCGGGCAAAGCGCCACATCTTAACCCCACTCTTACCCCTCCGTCGTATCACCGGTGCCTAAAGGAGCACACGGCCCGCGTCGCGACACATGGCGGACTTAAAGTGTGAATGCCGTGTTAGGTGGAGTTGATGAGTAAGGAGTGGTTGTGAAGGGGCTGGGATGGACGCCTATCTCCGAAGCTGGCGCCAAGCTTTGAACAAGACGCCATGCGGTGACCTCAGTCTCGTGCCTCTGTTGCCTTAGAAACCTCACATGTCGCATGTAATCAGGGCTACACGGCAATCCCTTCTAATATCTAGCCAACTACTGGCCTACTTCATGACGAATGTGTTCTTGTAGCATACCGAACGCGTCGTAGACGGATGCCAACATGAACGGAACTGGCGAGAGACGTTTAGCAGCAGTACTTCAATTCAACGATTTTGAAGAAAAAAAGAGAAAAAGTGGATCCTCATCTTCTGCTTGGGTATCCAAGGATAGGGCTGACTAAACAACTCACTCTGTCCTGTCGCTCCAGTTCGAGATTGCTACTTACCTAGGTAGGTATCAAGGACACCCACCTCTTTCAGTCGATCATGATTACAAACCCGTCCGCCTGTGTGACTCCAGACCTTTCACTTTCGGTCCAAAGCCCGACATTGGAAGCTGCTGCTGCTGTTGAGGTGGATTAAAGGAAATCAACAGCGCAATGTGAGTCACCGTCTGCATCATATGAGCGTCTTAGCGTGTTGGACCCTGTTTCTCGCATTCTACGCAATAAGTACTTGCGTGGACAAGGAATCTCGCTTTTTCTTCCACTCAAGGGCGACAAGCAGCTTTTCTTTCCCGTTCTCACGATTGAGGTCAAGCATCTTGCGAGCGATGTTTTCGCGAAGCGCCAGAATCAGCACAACGCCGCAATCAGGGTACGCGACCTTCGCAAGTTGCGTCAGCAAGCAGACATGAGCGAAGAAGAACTAAAAGAAAAGTTCGACGGAATTGTACACGTCGTCACTATCAACATTACGCAAACCAACCTCACGATCGGCTGCGGATGGACATCTTGAATTCTTCCAGAAGTCTGTCGTGGGATCTAATGCCCAAAGTGAAGTGCTTGATGAGTAGCTTGTAACTGTAGGACGATGGCGACAAGATGATGCATGGACTGCCGCTTACAAGAGGCCATTCGATACAGTTACGAATTAGAGCCTTTGCGCTTGCGGTTACAGTCAAGAGATAAAAACTAGCGTCCGTATCGTGTTCTTCACGGCTTTAGCACTTGGGACGGGGGTGAGAGGTACGGGGTTGGATTTGATTCTTATATCCAAGGTACTCACCATCAGCTCGTTTGCGCAAATCACACACGAATAATGAAACCTACCTCATACTTCAACGTCCTCACAACCTATACACATATTTGATGAACAACATGATTATGGACACCCCTTTTCAACGTAGAGTGATACTTGACAGATGCATGGAGCTGGCTGTTTTCCCAAATTTTATTTATAGGGACAGTCGGTATAATGACTATAGTTTAGCCTTATTACTATGCTTAACGCGTGCATGATACTGATCCCGCATCTCTCTTCTCAGCATCTTACCTGAAGGGGTTCTGGGTATCTGAGGACAACATTAGCATTTGCAGTTCATGTTGATCAAGCACTTACTGAATCAACAATCTCAATACCGCCAGTTAGCCACTTGTGTCGACTCAGGCGTCCCTCGACCCACTGATGTAGCTTCTTTGAAACGGTTTCCTCTGCCTGCTTCTGTCCCTCAGTAGTAAGTACAACCCATGCTCTGACGAACAAAGAACCATCACCGCGACCGTTATCGACGCCTGCTACACATGCATCGCGCACAAGACCTTCTGGGTGATCGAGCAATGTATCCTCAACCTCAGTGGCAGCAACTTGTAGACCTTTGACTTTAATCATCTCCTTCAGACGATCCAGGTAATGGATACGGTCTCGCTCGTCGCGCATCACCAGATCTCCCGTGCGCAACCAGCCAGGCTCGGTGAAGATATCAGCTGTGGCTTTGGCGTCTTTGAAGTAGCCGGGGGTGACGACTGCTCCACTAGCCCAAAGTTCGCCTTTCCCACCCTTGGGTACGTCTTTGAGCGTATCAGGGTCTACGACCCGAGCTTGCATACCTGGAAGTAGATAACCAATCATGCCAGGCAACGCAGGCTCCAATCCGAAGATACCATGCGCAGCCGGGCTCGCAATACTGGCTGCTTCACTGAGGCCATAACCACTTGGTACTGGCATTTCCGCGCCTTGTGGTAGCTTCTTGGCTAGTTGGTATGCGACATCCGGTGGCAGATATGCAGCTCCGCTCGATGCGCCAAGTACGGAACTCAAGTCATATTTCTCAGTCAATGGACTTTGAGCGAGTTGACGAACTAGAGGTGGTACGAGCGGAAGATGGGTAATTCTGTACTTTTGTATGCTCTTTAGAGCGAGCTCGAGGTCCCATTTTGGCAGCATAATGCTAGTTTGTCTGATCATGTTGACACGAAGGATCCAGATGATCATGCCGTACGAGTGATACATCGGTATCACGCCGAGCATAGTGATGGGTGTCAACGGCTCGTCTCCTGCGAAACACGCAGCTTGTACGGCGGTGATAAGCGTCTGCATCCCGGAGTGATAGCCATTGCTATGTGTGATCATCATTGCCTTGGGTAGGCCGGAGGTTCCTGAAGACTGGAACAGATATGCCATGCGGTTTCCTCCAAGTAGCTTCCGTGGTCGCTCCGGCAAGTGCGAACCTTCTCTTACAAGCGACTCGATGGTACGGTGTCCTGATACAGTGTCAAGTCCAGGATCATCGCTCAGTACTATGACTTTCTGAGGATTTAACTTGAGCTTGAGGGGCAGATTGTCGCCGTCACCAGACCCTAGCTTGAGCGCTTCGTTCAATACTGGCAGCAGCGTTTCATGACACATGATACTCGTAATTTGCATCTTCCTCAATACCCACCATAGCTCATATGGCGTACTCGCTGGACTGATTCCTCCAAAAACCAACTCCGATCGAAAACATGCGTGCGCTACCATCGGGTAATGCAGGTGATTTCGCGAGAACAGCGCTAGGATCTCGCCATCTTCTTTGTCATCCACTGGGCTCTTTCCCAGACCTATCGGGTTTGGTCCATCATATCTGAAGACACGCGCCAATGCACATACCCGCGCGTAGAAGCTGTGAAGTGTGACGACTTCTTCTGTGACGGCGTTGATGAATAGCGGGTAGTCTTCAGGCAATGGATTGTTTGGCGGAAAGCAAAGTTCGTGGATATTAAGGTCGTCTGGTGTCGGTGGAAATGGGCCAAAAGGTGATGAGAATATAGCTTCGTCGTGAGACAGATACTTGTCTTTGTGGGGATCGGGAGAGTTGGGGCCAAGGTACCTGGACCAATGAGGTTTGAAGATGTCGTATGTCATGTTGAGACTTCAGTGAGTTGATCTTGCAGGGTACTAGAAGATCTTTATGAGATATTGAGACATGCATACACAAATATGTGCTGCCAGTATTACGTTCGTGCGACATGTAGGTTGTACTTCCGAGGTGTACTGCACGCCCCGCGTTCTTCTCCCCACAGTCAATCCTGACATCGCGCAGGCGAGTAAGTTCGGGGGCACGATATGGTGCCTTCTTCGCATAGACTGCTAGTATGTGATGAAATCGGAAAGGCGCTCTGATGTAAGGCGCTGGTCTATCCAGAAGTGAGATGGAAGGTTGCGTCGTGGCGGACACGCGTCGGTTCCGAGGTAGGGATTCTTTCGTGGGGGGAGGGGGGTCATTCAAACCTCTCCAACCTCCAAGCGCGGTCAAAACTACCCTCCTCGAACTTACATCGCACAAGTCAACGAAATTTCCATCATTGAATTGCCTGCCTCGAAATACAGTCGCTTCCGAAGAGGCTAAAGATGAGCTGGCTTTACGAGCGTGACTTGCTTATGCTGCGCCGGACGCCTGAACTTCACGTCTAGCCCAAAATGGGTCATGCTCGTTTCAGCTGACGGCGCATCAGAATTCGCGGAGTTCGGCACACGCGACCTCTATGCCACTTGACCAGTTTTCACTATATTTTAATAAGAGTGCAGCAAGACTACCTATGGAGGATCTGGCGTTTTCTTTAGCTCTCGAGGTTTGCACAGAGGCGCGCGGGTATACATAGCTGGAAACCTCGCGTATGCACCCCTGATGCGACTTCAAAGTCGTCGCGCTTAAGTCTTAGCCTTCCCAGCTTTCAGCCCCCAATATCACCTTGCAGCCTTCCCACCGAACTATAAACCCAACGCACCGCCCTCGTTGGTATTGCGCGTAGTCAGCGTTCCGCACAGTCATGTCTTTTGACACCGACAATGGCAATGGCAACGACAAGCCCGCCAAGAGAGATACGATCCCAGCCTTGTGGTCAGCTAAGCATATCCCGCATAGCGCAGAATTCCCCGACCCGTACGAGTTAATCGGAGATGCATATGAACGGATACCAGTTGCAGATGAGTGGGAAATACCGGATCCGTAAGTCAATAGCAACAATGCAGCCTCTGAAGACAACGCTTATGCGACGCAGCAACAGCAAGAGGCTACCATATTTGGCGCACATCAAGTCGCTATCGACTTCATGGAGGACATTACGCCATCTAGCGGACTGGATGCAGGTTGGCACAACCCCACTGCGTTGGAATGAGATCAAACACCACCCAAAAGAACTCGAAGAACGCAGGAATAAGACGAATGTCACCTTCGTGGAGTATCACCCCGCTGCTGCACCGAAGACTACAGCGATTAAAACGCCTGCATTGCTTCACGAGACTCTGCAATCTCTGTCGCATGAGCATATGAAAGAGCCACCCCTCAGACTCTTCATCGTGGAAGATCTATCCCAGCAAGTCATTGAGCTTTTGGGGGCGCGCTTTGATCTCGATCCGTTGTTCTTCCGTGAACAAATCGATGACTACGTATGGCATAACACTCGCGACCCCTGGGCGTCTCCGCCCAGTCTAATCTCAAGTATGAAGCATCGACCGTGGTTTAGAATGCGCAACATGAGATTACGATACTTCAAAACAGAAACGGAGTTCCAAGATTCGAGGTTGGAAGCAAACTCCTGGAATGTGCTGAGACGCCCTGACAACGATGAAAATCATTGGCACTATCAAGATGGACAGGAGCAGTCGTGTCCATCATGCGTACACGGACGACAATGTGGATCGGCAAAGACAAGAAGTGTGGAAATGGAACCGTCGGTATTGTATTGCTGGATCCAACCGTCAGCCAGGGCAAACCACTATGTGAGTACTAACACACGATATCCAAACCTAGCCAGGATTCACGCTGACACTGCGAAGGGTACGATCGCAGTAATTGGCTGCCGACCCCTAAGATGGACACCAAAGTATACCCGTTGATCAAATCCTCCAAATCTTGGTTCGAAGACATTGTCCAAATGACCACTGCGTTTCCATGGTTTGAGCAGAAAGAAGGCCATCACATAAACGCGCAAGTTCTCGCCAAACCAACCATATACACCATCTGCGCAGAATGGCTTATAGTATGCGACTACGTAAGAGCTCGACTCAGCCAAATAGAATGGGAACTTGAAATGCCGCGCCTCTTCCGCTCAAAAGGCGACGCCATCGACACATCGCTCAAACGTCTACATACCTGGCGTCGGCAAATCCCCGTATTCCGGGAGATGGTAACAGAAACGTTGGAACATGCACTCCCAGCTGCAGCGCGACTCACCACCCCATCGTCTCAGTATTCTGCCGCGCCCAACTCACCTCTTTCCGTACGCTCAGTCATTTCAGAAAACCTAGCTATCAACTTCGAGAACGTGGAAGGGTTCGAAGACATAGTCCCTGATTTCAAACGTGTGCTTGCCGCTGTTAACGAACTACAAGAGCGTGTCGACCGTCTTACTAGCATTGTTACATCAGAAATATCCATTGAAGATTCACGTCGCGGACTTGAGGAAAACCATAACATGGCAAGGCTCACATGGCTGGCGACTATCTTCATTCCGTTGACGTTCATATCTGGATTGTATAGCATGAACGAGAGTGTTTCAGCGTTGAAAACGACGTATGGGTGGTATTTCCTGACCGCCGTGCCGTTCACGTTGATCGTAATGGCAATCGGATGGGTCGCAGGGGTGGAAGCCTCACGCCGTGGAGGAAAGATTCCACAAAGCAAAAGGGCATGATTGGGGGGAGGGACAACAAAAGAGCGAAGTAATTGGGAGATGGCACGATTTACGACATAATGTTAGCATTGGAAAACGTTTCCTCGAAATAAAGCGGCATACTACTCCAAAAACTCTATTGCCCTGCTAGCCTCCGATAACACCGGTATCGCTTTCGGTTGTCGCTCCATGCCAGCTACAATGTGAATCTGAAATTAGGATGCTGATGACCAAGTCTGCCCGCATCCGCTTGCAGTAGTCTGTCGTCTCGTTCACCCCTGTCTCGCTTCTTATTTTCCCAACCCAAGTACACACACTGAGCAGCAGCAAGTACGATCGTTATCACCAATGCACCAAGGCTGACCGAATGGCCTAGAACGTACTTCGGTGCATCACGTTGAAGGTAGATAAATGTACCGATAAAGGCCGAGCAGTTAGCGATGGAGATCACCATACCGATTCCGACTGCTCGGACATAGTGAGGCGCAAGATTATTGGACGCCCATCCCTAATTACATATAAGCAAGTCAAGCACGTATATCCGGAAATCAAGCTTACCATGAGCATGGGGGAGCCTTGGAAGACACCAATGGCAACTAGGAACGTGCCGGCATATCGTACGGCATTCGTCGTTGCCACTATCAACATCACGTAACCACATATTCCCACCAAGCATCCTCCAATGATAAAGTAACCCCTGTTTTTTAGCTTGTCCGAGGCATACGCCGTACCAACAACGGTGATAAAAGCAGCCATGTTGGGAGGCACTGTGAAGAGCTGCGCGGTGGTGCTTCGGTACCCCATGCCTGCGATGATACTAGGTAGAAACAGTGAGAAGCTCTGTTATTAGTCAGTGTTATATCCAGCACACTGGAATCGGCAAGAGCTTACATATAGTGGCACCAATAGGAAGAACCAGATGAAGGCCGATAGATAGGTCTGTGGGGCTACCAATGCCATCTTGACCCAATGCCAGCTAGACCTTTCATCATCGACATCGACTTCGGTCGATCCTCCCGCGTCAAGCCTCATACGTCGCAATGCCCATTCCTTCTCTTCATCGCTTAAGAAGCCTGCTGCGGCAGGGGTATCGGGCATGAAGAAGAAGCAGATGATGCCGAAGACGACTGTGATCGCACCCTCGACTACGTTCTGGTCAGCGCAATACCTCCCGCAACACATAAAGATGGATACGAATGTTGAACATTGACAACTTACCAAAGAAGATCCAAGGCCATCTCCGATACTCCCCAACCTCGATGGTTGCCAAACCTGAAGCTAAAAGTCCGCCAAAAGCCCCGGATAACGGCGCGGCGCAGTAGAATAAACCGCTCCTCAATAGCATCTCGCCTCTCCTGTAGAACATGGCAAGGTAAATTATCACACCACCGAGGATGCCACCTTCGCATAGTCCTAGCAACAACCTGCATACAACCAGTCCAGCAAATGACTGGACGAAACCCATAAATGTACACACCAGACCCCATGAAGTTATAAGAGCGGGTAAGTAGATGCCGGCGCGCAGACGCTTGACGAGCAGGTTCGAAGGTACGTCAACGATGATGTACGGGATGTAGAAGACTAGGAGCGCAACGTTGAACCGCGTGCCAGTTGTGATCGTTAACTCATCTGACAAGCCTGCTATACGAGCATTGCCTATGTTGCTGCGGTCTATGAATGAGAAGAGCCTAGATGGATTACTTAGTATCCAGCTTTGATGAGGTGAACGATGGGAAGATACCATATTCCGAACAACCAGGGCAAGATGTGGGTGTCGAATTTACGATTGAGACGCTTGTCTAGGGCGAGATCGATCGTTTTGTCAAGCCCAATTGCTTTCTCGATACGTTCAGTGTCTAGCTCTTTTGGATTGTCCATTGTGGCTGTTCAGTAGATTCAAACTTGGAAACGCGCTTTCACGATAGCAACAGGGAAGACGGGTGCAAACAAAAATACAAGATACAGATTAACGGAATCTAAGGATCTAACTTGTGTAACTCATGATCAGGTAATTGTACATTTTTCCGAACCGACGCCAGTAGGCTAATGTCCCTCCACATTGCGGGAAGTTTAGAATGATTCACAATGCTGCGGGGATTTCTCCAAAGAGGATCCCGAGCTACTGAGAAGTGCTTGTCGATCAGTGAGCTTCCCGCAAATTGTCTTGTGCAAGGGCGATGTGGTGGATGACTTTCCCGCACGACAGCGGAGAGGCGAATGAGGAGAAGAATGGCACGGCTGGTAAGCGAGACAGCAGAAAATGTGGCTGACGATGACCCGAAATACATGCCGATAGCGAGCCGTTGCCGGCACCTATTTCGTCATGAACGCCCAAAAGCCCCTAGCCAGAACAACGCTCGGTAGATCAACAAGACGGTAAAAAACCTCCGCTGTGACCGCAACGAGGGGTGCGCAGACCAAGAAGCATACAAAACTGCTTGCAGCACCGTTCATGCCGGCGGCGACCATGTGTGTGTATAGCTGGATACCGGCGGTGTAGATGATTATGGATTGGACGAGGAACCAGCCTAAATTTTGTAAGTGATTGTTCGATGAAGCTATCCAAGGTTGACACTTACTGAAACTCCTCTTGCCTAGCGAAACGAAGAAGCCGCCGCGAAGCACAGCTCGGGGCCATTCGAATGTCTCAATGAGGAGCATCGACCCAAGGATGATGAGGTAGTTGTCAACCCTCGCCATTGGCTGATCCAAGTCGACGTTCTCGTTAAGGAATCCGTCGTCGTAAAGCGCAGTGTGGCCCCATAGTTCATTGTCGCGCATGCTGGGTTTCCCAGAGATAAAGATGAACTGCAGCACAACACCGGTGAGGACCATAGCAGCGTAAAGTGGCCAGATCGGTATGGTGAAGTTACCGATCTTGAGCCCTCTGTGGGACCGGAACTGAAAGTCCATATTGAGGACCGCATCAGCTATGATGAGACCAGTGACGCTGTACCACGCCCAACTCTGCACCCAGAATGCTGCTACGATGAAGGCTAACATAGCCTTTACCCGCCATGAAGTGCGAGTGTTCGGGACAATGACCATGGTAATGTAGACGGTGTAACTTTGCTGGAATAGCACAGACACTATCCAAAGGGTACCGGATGGGAACACATCGTTGGCAGCTTGACTAGCGTATTGCTTGTTGACCCAGAATATCTCAAAAAAGGTGTTGAAGTAGAGCAGGAAGTTGCGGAGGCGCACCGGTGCAATGGTGGAGATGTTGCCGGTGGAAGTCAAGAATTCTGAGATGTAGTCGGTCGAGCTTGTGCTGAAAGCCGCTGCTGCAAAAGAGTAGGCAATGAAAGTGGGTATCCATAATCTGATGCCACGGCGAAAGACGCTGGATGCGCCGACTTCGCGCGTCTTGTTGGCAAGGTATGGCAAGCAGATAGTTCGTGCGGAGAGGAAGATAATCCATGAGTAAATCAAAGCCTCGTTGGCGAAGAGTACTGAAAACGACTTGCGAAGTACGACCTGGTAAGTCGGGCCATCGACATTCTTCGAGTCGGGGAGAGCGGCTGGGAGGAACGTCTGGAAGAACACAAAGAGGAAAGATTGGAACACGAGCAGGCCACGGAGCCCAATAAGATAGTTCTGGTCGACTGACAGGCTAGTCGTCCCTTGCGGAGTCGACGACGAGGGGAAAATCGCCTTGAGTTTGGATGGAAGGGTAGGCTCCATTGTTGCAGACATCTTGTTCAGTACCGCGAGTAAAGGTAAGAATCTCGATGATAGAAGAGTAAGAACAGCTTACCAACAGGGTAATTTACCCTCGACCTCAGACCACACAGACAACAAATTCAGCACAGCCCATGGCAACTATGTGCAGCAGTAGCACCAAATTCCATAGCCAGATAGCCCCGTGGGAGACCCGAGATCAACAACTTGGCCACCAGAACGACCACGTACCTGTAAGCTACTTTTCTTTCCGCAACTAGCACAGCATTCACCTACCGAGCACGGGAAGCGTTGAGCTTAGCTGCAACGCAAGCTTCCGAGAGGACCTCAGGCGCATGCATGCCAAGATTCAGTTATGCTTTTTGTGGCGTTCTCGCCGTCCCGCTGTGAATATATTGATAAGCGTTGACCCTAGTTGAGGCTGGTAGTGGGTAGCTTCCGCGGGTTACAATAGTCTACAATTTTGCAACTTTGACCAGTTACACATGCGGGTTGCTGTTGATCGTTATCTTGATTTCGGATGTTGAATTGTCGGCTTCGCAACTCTGTAACAGTGCAGCCCTTGTCATACATATCCCAGACGCACATCGTGACGTGCTCCATGAAAAGCACCCTGATCTCTCAACATGCCGGTGAACGGCCTTCCTCAGAAGCTTCCACGCGTGGCGCACGGGGCGGCACTACCTACGATTCTCAGTTACTGCCTTGACACTCGAAGTTGTCTGTGCATATTGAGCCCTATACCGCTTGTCCGCGCGATGGGCCACAAAGGGTCATGAGCTTCGCACGTTTGCAGAAAACATAGGGGCTGACTCGTGCGTTCGGACCAAAAAAGGAAGGTGAGTGATACAAACAACGATAACCCACCGAAACCATTTACTGACCGAGGGAAATGCCGTGGCAGATTGCCCTAGGAAGCATACGGATGGCACCGCCGGCCAACGATGTCGTGCTACCCACCATGTGTTGTGCTTCGGGTAGGAATATCCCACGCAGGCGAGGGGAACGCTTGTGAAGTGGATCTACGCGCTAGTGGGCGCGTGTCGATCGCCCGCATAGTCGACTTGTAATATCCCGACCACCCCTGATGCTGTTGATTATTTCCTTTTCCGTGTCCCTATGGCGATGCTTTCTGGTAGGGCGGTGGGACGCGGAGTCCGTTTCAGTAAGGCGCTGACCTTCGGCCTTGTTTGGCGCCAAGATCTTACTTATCTCTGAGCTTTGCCCTGGTCAATAAACAAGGCGCGTCAGATCGGAAGTCGAAGCGCCGACGTGATCAGTCTGGGATGATCTGGTACCATCGTGTTCCTGCTGCATTGCCGCGCGTTGTTTCATGGATTGATTTTCTAATCGTAGCCACTGAGGAGACATCACGATAGAGCAGTCAAGCAAGCTTATTGGTGAATGGGAAAAGTGCTTCATGCTTGTGAACATTCTTCTTAACGATAGTAATCATATCAATGGTTGGTAGTAATGATGATAATAAAGTTGATTTATGATAATAATGATTATGTTGATATTAATCGTCGTCTACTATATACTGGAGCATGACTCATCAAATCCTCAAGCGGCCACTAGTGGCTTGCGAGTCTTCATTCCGAACCCCAAAGAGAGCATCTATTGCCTTGCGCCCTGTTCCCTAAGATATTGACAAAAAGAAATTACGAAGATGTAATGTAGTGTTACTTCCTGGCTGTTGGGTTCCAGGAGCTGTAGTTGACAAGCTGACGAGCGTGACCATACAGACCGATCGTGGCGTTGAGAATAAGGTAGAAGGGGTACAGAACCGAGAAGAGAATGATCATTCTCCTGGAGATGTACTCAGACTTGACCTGATTGGTGATCCAAAGTGTAGCAATCAAGCAGATGATACTGTAACACGATACTGTTAGCGGTGTACAAATTTAATCGGGCAGGTGCTGTACGAACCTGATAATGAAAAGCCACTGTGATACAGGGTACTGGAAATAGACCAGCTTCCACAGCTCGTCCCCGGTCGTTGGGAATTTAACGATAACGAATGATGCGACGAGGCACGTGTACTGAGTGACAAGGTAATACGAGGATTCGCGGATGAGTAGTAATGAGAGTACACCGAAGCGTGCAGTGAAGCTTCGTTTGGCGTGCTCCTCATGCAGTGGATCCTTGACACCGTTCCAGACCATCTTCATGTGGCGCATACTCGCTTGAGCCCAACCCTGTGCCCACCGCAGACGTTGCTTCCAGAATGCACCGAACGTTGTTGGGGCCAGCTCGTACGAAGTAACGTTAAGATCATGGACAGTCTTGGCACCTTTGGAGAAGGCGCGGAGAGCGGAGTCGATATCCTCGGTAAGCATTGTGTCGTCCATCTTCAAATCGCGAAGTAGCGAAGTGCGCCAGTAACCATTGGAACCACAGAAAAGGCCAAAACCCCACATGGTAGAGCGACCAGGATGAGAGACGGCGTAGATCTTGTCAAACTCGACTGCGATCATGTTGGTCATGAAACTATCGTCGGAGTTGAAAACAATGCAGCGGCCCTGAACGATGTCGACATCCTTCTCGGCAACGAACCGTTCGGCAGCCCATCTGGGTGAGTTCGGATGAGGGTAATGGTCGCAATCGTAGATGGCGATGATGTCCGATCCAGTGTCCAGCGTGAAGAAGTAGTTGAGATTGTCGGCCTTGGAAGTGGAGTTGGGCACCTTGATAACCCTTGCGTGTGGAAAGCGAGACGGAAGTTGGTTCAGCTCGCTCTCCAATGGTTCGATTGCTTTGGGGGTGTTGTAGAGAATGTTGATGCGTATCCTCTCAGAAGGGTAGTCAATCTGCTCAAGCGCATAAAGAGCACGATCCATGATGATATCCTGCTCGTTCGGTAGGTAGGCGACGATGAGGAGATCGATGATTGGTAGCTTGTGATGTGGCGTGGGGAATAGCCACTCCTTCTCCTGCGCCTGTGTGACGATGGCTCTTGCCTCACGGCAGGGAGTGATGCTGAAGAAAGCTTCCAGAACAGTTGTACCGGCGATGTAGAAGTTGGTGCACATGTAGATGAACCAGAAGATGGCAATCAAGCTGTTGCTGCAGTACATGTACAGGCATACCGAGAAGATGTAGTAGGAGGCGACCAGACCGAAAGGCGTCCACTCTGAGATGAACGACGATGTCTGTCCGACGGTCGCAGAAGCGCTGAAACTGTTCTTCTGGGT